CGGCTTGGGGCTTAGGGTTTGGGGTTCTAGGGTTTAGGGATTCTAGCAGCAACTTCAAGTGCTTTTCGGTCCGCCAAAACCTCGACAATCATAATATCAAAATTATTTTACTTCGGACATCCCCACCCTCACGGCAGTCTGTTGGGTTGGGCACTCCAGGGAGTCTGACGGGAGTCTCACGGGAGTCTCGCGCTAGTCTGTGGGGTTGGGCCCTCCAGGGAGTCCCATGGGAGTCTCACGCTGGTCTGTGAGTCTCACGCTAGTCTGTGGGGTTGGGCACTCCAGGAGGTAGCGGGCGAGGAGTAATAGCTGACTTTAAATCTAACAACCCCACACCGAGGGTGGGGAATAACATCATTTGCCCACGTGTGGAGGAGCACGTGTCAGCACCTGGATGCCTACATCTCCATCCCATCGCGCTCACGCATTTTCGTAGCAACTTCAATGTCCTTCGTAATCTCGGACTTCTTGATTGAGCCACCCATCTCATACTTGTCATCTGATCCTTGTAGTGGTCCGCCACGACCTCCAACTTGTTGATGAGAACCGAAAGGGCCTTGAAGTCAGCGGAGCTTGTCTTCAAGGCGTGCCTTGTCATGGTCAAGATACTTCTTCAAGAATGTCAGCTCGGAGGAGCTCATCGTCTTTCATCATTTTATCAAGCGAGACATCGGACTTGAAGGACAGCTTCCTTAGCAATGTCAAAAGGCAACCTGAAAGGTGTTCTTGTCGGCGTCTGAAACCAAAGTTCCAGCCTTCTTCTTAATCATCGCCTTCTTGATGACTTTAGAAGTGCCACCTCCAACTCCAAACGCGCCAAAGGCGAGCAAGTCGCCATCCTTCAAACTACATCCTCCGATGGACTTACGGTGCTCATCCTTCGTGATGGGGTTTTTCCTTGAAGCGAAGGTTCATTGTCTTGACGTTCGTCTTCGGGACTTTGATGGCCTCGGCAATCATAATCTTCAAGTCCTTCAAGGTCTTGTCGGGTGTGGTGGTGATGGGGAAGGTCTCGCCTGAGATGTTCTTCACGTTGAGCGTCAAAAGGGTCTCGCGCTCCTTCTTCTTCTCCATCCGCTTTTCAAGGAACTTCTGCGCCTTCTTGGCGTCGCGCTCCTCCTTCGTCTTCTGCTTCTTAATCAATCTGAGCCTTGAACGAACCAAGTTGTAGTCCTCAACGACGGACTTCGCCTTATTCATCTGCTCTATGTAGAGCAAGCAACTCCAAGCTGTCAATGTCATCAATCTCATCAAGCTTCAGCAAGAAGTCGGTCTTCGTGGTGGTCTGGGAAGCAGAGCCATCAGCGTCAGCATCGGGCTCCTGGTCAAGGGTCACTGTCTCGGTCAGAGGTGGTGTCGTGGTCTGACATGGTCTGACTGCTCCCTCAACTCCGGTGTAACCCGCATCCTTGGAAGACGATGCCATTGCTTGAAAGCAAAAGGAAAGAGAACTTCACGAATTGGTTGAAATCAAAGGGGCGCTCAGCACAAACAAAGGTTGCTCAACAATGCTTTCAATTGGAACAGACGCCTTCTCTTCTTCGATTTCCGGACGATGTCGTCGATGAAGATAGTGACAAGACTTCAAGTAATAGAAACTTTGGTAGGAGTACTACTAGGTTACTAGGGACCTTGGAAAATAGAGGATGAAACATAGGGGAAATGAACTAGGTGCGATGGTAGGAATATTGGTATGAATTCTAGGGGTTTGAGTGAATAAATGAATGAGGCGGAATGAGTTGATGAAAAAGTGCTGCAACAGGATGGTGAAAGGGCAATAATTGATAAAAGCCCTAGAAACCCCCTTGGAATAACGAATAAGGGGATAGGGGGAAACAATGAAGAAGGTATGTCATGATTTGATATAATAGCTGAGGTAAGCAACATATGATGGTTAGGTCCTGAGTAAACCACCTTTTAGTAATATCCCCCCCGCACTGGATTGGTGAACACCTTTATAATGTGAATAAGCACCGTGTTGCAGTCCGGCGTCATGGACCTCCTTGCCTTGCCAATGGTGCGAAGCTCAAAGGATCAGAATGCATCCTCGATCTCGGCAGGAGCCTCGAGTTGCTGGCAGGTCATGCAGATCGGCATGATGATGCCGCAAGTGCTTCAGGTCTCATTTGGCCTTGCGCGGGGGGTTCGGGGATGTTCGGGGCGCTCTTGGCTCTGGTCGAGAGAGGCCTTGAGGGCGCAGCCCTGCCCTTTGAAGATGCTCGAGGAGATCCGGCAGGTGGGGCTGTCTGCGACTTGCGGCTTCTCGCTGCGAGGTCTCAGCTCCTGGGGGATTCTCTGCCAGAATTGAGGCCCCCACCGAAGCCGTGCTTTTGGCTCGCCATTAGCGGCTTTAGTTCCGTGTGCCTCCTCACGTGGCTGCACGCTCGGAAGGGGCCAATGCCTGAGGACTGAACATGGAGCCCGTGAGAGCCACCTGCAAAGTACCATGACAGGCCATGAACGACCGCAGCTTCCGCCTCGGCACTGCAGGCAGCGCTGGTTCAACAGAAGACAGAATTAGGGCCAAGAGAATTCCGAAGCCAGTCGCCCTTCTGTGGCCACTCTTCCGTCGATCATTGTGGATCCGAAACTCACAGGCAAGGCGCTGATAGCTGGTGGGCTCCTCTGCCTCAAGGCCGGGGCAAAGCCAAGCGAAACAGGGGGCCGAACTCAGCCGTCAAAAGCATCCAGAAGATCCGAACGGCGTAAGCCCGAAGCTTGTGGCAGATTCCCTGTAGGCTCGCATCATCCTGGCTAATCATTCCGAAAGCCATCCCTCACAAGGAATGTTTTTGGCTCCATTTCCTCTGACCGATGCGTGCAGCGCTTCGGATCCTTCGTTTCGGGTCTGCTGTTGACTTTGGCAGGGCAGCGTACCCACCTTCGCCGTTTTTCCTGCGCATCCAACAGTCGCGTCGAAGGGACAAGCCGAGGCCTCAGGAAGAGCCAAAGCAAAAGAAAGCGCGACCATGTGGGGTGCGTTGCTCTCCGTTCCGAAGTAAGATTCCGGCTCGCCGATCTGATCTGCAGAGGTTTCTGGCGCGTTTGCCTCCAGGACCCAGCTCAGCCAAGTATCGCACTGGCCAGCAAGCAGAGCAATGAGTGCTTGGATATTGAGACAGATTGCTACATTTCCTGGCAAGGACAGCAGCAAGTGGTGCCAGCAGCGGCACAGGTGCTGGCATCGGCTTCCTCAGCCTTCCCGCGCTCGGCTTGGCCGGCGTTTCCATGGCGATCTTCCGAAGAACAGGTACGGTGCAAGAAAAATGGGGGTCTTGGTCAGAACCGGAGATACCGATCGTGAGTGCAGGTTGCAGAGCTGCTAAAGCAGTTCGCCGTGCGGAGCCAGACGCCAGGAGGTGCGCCAGGCACTGAGGCAGCTCTACGGAGGCAGACGGTCGCATTGCCAGGAGACCAGCCACAGCGGACGAGGAGGTTCGGGAGGAGCCCGGACCTGCGCTGCGAGCACTGGCCCTTTAAGTTGAGATGATGGCTGGACGTTGCAGCTGGTTCAAGCGGCATGGCACACGGCAAGCAGCGGCAGGCTACATGCCAGGCTCACCTGCAAATTGCATAAACTTGCATCATCTCTTAGAGTACATTGACATACAGATGGTGGAGCATTTGGTTGTTTCCATGCAGAGCGGGGGTATGCACCGATGCAGCTTGAGCATGCCGCCACCCGGTCCATCCTTCCTGGAGCTCTGCCGAGTTTGCCGAAGCGGACGTCTGTCCGAGGGCCTTTGCCCTCTACCGGGTGCTGCAAGCGATTGCTTCTTGCTTGTGGCACCGCTGTGGCGACTGGACCATCAAGAGCATGGCCGCTGGTAGTTCGACTTGCGGTGAGTGGTGGCTTGTCTGCTACAATGTTGCAAGCAAGAAGTTCATCCGAGCAAATCTGCCAATCCTCCTCGGCAAAAGGCCAACAGCGGCTCAAGACAAAGAGAGTGAGCCCCGCAAGTCGCAGACATGGGTTCATCCGTACCAACAAGGCGGGAGTTTTGCAGTTGCGAAACTGCTGCGATCTTGTTGCCACGCTGTGCAGGAGATCTTGGCAGCCAAGTCACCCGCAGAACTTGGGGGTGTCCTGCAGACGTTCCTTAAGGAAAAGCGGGCCTTGAACAGTGCCACGGCTGGAATGCAGTGATATCAGTGCGGTTGTATGCAGCTGTAGCGTCTATGCTTGATCTCAGTTTTCTCAGGTGTAAATCTCGCGACTATCTTGTACAAGGCCGCGAAGATGGATCCAGAGGAGGCCGCGGTGGCAGGACGGGGCTCGGGCTTCTTCGTTTGTTTCGTCTGGCGGAGGTCTTTTCCGAAGGGCGCCTGAAATTTCTGGCGCGCAGCCTCCGGAGCGGGCTCCTGCTCGATGGCCGGCGGCGGGCTTAGGGCTCGCTTTGGTGCGGCAAGGAAGCCGAGCCAAGCTCCTGCGCTGCTCGCCTTAAGGCAGCTGGCGAACTCCTTGTATGGCCTGCAGCGCATGCACGAGGCGACGGAGGGCGTGGCGGAGCTGCTCTCAGCGCTGGCGCTTCAGACGGAAGCGGCCGCCGAGCGAAGGGAGGCGCTGGAGACCCGGGCGCTCAGCAACGCCTTGTACGGCCTCCAGGGCTTCAGCTCCACGCGGTCCACGCGCCAGAGCACCGCGCTCCCAGCGCTGCTCCGAGCTCTGGCAAACTGGGCCAAAGCAGCGCAGGCAGCGGCCGCGGCCCAGAGCTCCGAGCCTCGCGGCTTCTCCGCCCAGGGGCTCGGCATGGCGCTCTACGGCTTGCAAGGCTGCAGCGAGGAAGCGGAGGAGCTGCTTGGGGCCCTCCTTCCCTATGTCCTGGCCTCTCCACTGGACGGCCAGGCGGTAGGCAATGCCTTGTACGGCCTGCAGAGTCTCAGCAGCGACTCTGAAGGCCCCCTCCCGCAGCAGTCCTTTGCTTTTCTTTTTGGGTGGTCTTTGCTGGGGTTGGAGGCACCTTCGGAGGGGTGACCTCTCTTGTATAAACCAATCGCAGGAAACCATGAAGTAAGCCTGGCGTGGTAGCCAAGACATTTTCAGCACGGAACTCCGCTAATCTCCCCGCCCAGTTGTACGTCGGCTTCTCGGCGTCTTTGCATCCAAGCTGAAGTCCTTCGACGGCAAAATGACCGAGCAGGATGACAAGGGTAGAATCAAGCTGTTTTCAGGGGTTCATACTCGTAGCGACAGGCTCTTGAGCGCTTTGTCGCGAGGAGGTGAGCAATGCATTGTACGGTCTTCAGTTCATGGACCCCTCGCTTCCGGAGGTGCCTCGGTGGGCCTTTTGTGGGTGCAGGGTGCAGGGTTGGGAAAGGCTTGAAGGGCCAACATCATGTCTGTCCGCATCCTCATCATCATGACCACGATCATCATGCCCACTATGATGCTTGAGTTGAGTCGGCCCACTGATCTCTGCATGGAACTGGAACCGTTGGCCCGTTGGCAGCAGGTGGCTGGCGTGGTAGAGGCGCTCGTCACGGCCAGGCGCACAACAGAGACGGCTCCGAGCCAGCGGCAGCGGCAGCAGCGAAGTCGGCATCCCGTGAACCCTCTGCAACACTCCCTGCCGAGGTGCGACAAAGGGGTTATAAACAGTTGGGGGAGAGACTCTCTCTCTCTCTCTCTCCTCTTTTGTCTCGAGGCTTCCGTCGAGCTTCCTGGAGAAGGCCTTCCCTTCCCCACAAGGCGGAGAAGGTGGCGAGGGGGCCCCGCGGTATTGGCTGGACCTGGGCTGCGACACCGGCTCCTTCGTCCGCGGCGTCGCGCGACGGCACCCGGACCTGCGCGTCATCGGCCTGGAGCTTCGAGCCCACGCCGTGGCCTTCGCCAGAGCCAGGGCCCAACAGCAGCGCCTTCAGAACGCCGCCTTCCTCCAGGCAAGACTAAGAGGGGAGGAGAGGAGAGATGTGTGGAGACTCCTGTGGCTCTACTGTAGCGGACTGCTCTGGGACTACTCAGGGGAATGCCAACGTCGAGTTGGCGGAGTTGCTGAAGCAGCTGAGAGAAAGCGGCGGCCAGGCCTGTCGGCAAGACTCGATGAAATCGACAGGTGCAGACGAGCGAAAGCCTGTGCTCGAAAGGTGCAGACGGTGAGCATCAACTTCCCAGACCCACACCTGCTCCTGCCCGATCGAGATCGGCGGGTGGTTCGCGGGTCGCTTGTGGAGCTCTTGGCGCAGCACTTGCCTGCGGAGGCTGAGGCTCTGGGGCAGAGAAGCAGAGGGCCTTGAAGAGGGTTCTGCAGGCATTTGCGGAAGCGCTGCGAAGGTGCTCTTCCAGTCCGACCTGGCTCTCTTGGTCGACGAGGCTTCCTGGGCCCCCTGCGCCGAGTCTTACCATATGAGATCGAAGCGCGGGATGTCTCTCGACTCTGGGAGGCCCGCGCTGCCTTCACTTTTCACGGCTGCTTTCGGGTCACCCCATGGCTCTACGAGGAGATGGGCCTGAGACGGGGACTTTGAACTGATGGATAAAAGAGCACCGTCGAAGTTTTCATCACAGGACCTTGTGGCCACCGAGCGGCAGAAGGTCGTGCAGAGAAGAGGGCTGGTTGTGCATAAGGCGCTGCCTCACTCGTTCTATGGCGCGGGCCCAGTTCCCTCCGAGTGTGTACTGTGTGTATCATGCAGGCACGGCTGGAGCGCTCGCGAGCACTGCCTGCCGACAGCTTAGAGCAGGAGGTGGACAAGCTTCTTCAGGAGATGCGGGCCTCTTCCTAACTCGCTTCCGTAAGTGGCTCCGTGGCGACCAGGGCGATGGAGACAGAGACGAGAGACGCAAGCCATCTTGTCCGGTATCGCCTCGAGTGCAACAGCCTTCCGCGACACGTGAACCTCCAAACTGGAAGCCACAGAGGCTCGGCCCCGGGATGGGTGCGCTCTGTGCGCGTCCAGAACGCCGGCACGGTGGGATGGACCGGAAGACCGGAGCCGAAGGGCCGAAGCTGAAGCCTCCGCAAGGACCCGGCAACGCCTGCGCCCGGAAAGCTCAGCTCAAAAAGGGAGCGCAAGAATGCTCGACAGTGTGCAACACCACATTGCTGGTCCTCAGCTGGCCAGGTTGCAATGAAGGGGCACGCAGCTATGGGGGCTTTGGGGAGAAGTGATAGGTCTTCTCTCAGTTCTGCATGACGGGATTCCTGAACGGTCGAGCAGTGGCAATGTCATCCTCCACAGAAAAGCTCGTCAGCCGGAGATGATGTTTTTTCATCACCACCAAAAAAACCTTATAGC